CCGGGTCAGGGGGTCAGGGTCGCTTCCCCCCGCGCCACTGCCTCTGTTTGTCCAGCTGCTTCTCTGCGGGGCCCTTCATTTTCTTTGACGAGTGCTTCTCAACCCCACTCGGGGGCCAGCTCCTTCCTTGCGCTGCCCTCCCAACAGATGGCTTTCCCATTCCGGGCCCCACACGGCGTTTCTCTGGGTCCTAGTGTGTTTGGAGTCCTCTTGGGCTCTGAGGTGTTGAGCCCGCACACTGCGATGCAGTCTGTATGCCTGTGTCCCGCGTTTCCCTGATGGCACCATTGTCCCCACCGCCGGCGTGTCGCGGCCATCCCCTGGCGCACAAGCCCAGCGCAGGTGGGGTGCCAGGCTCGGCTGCGATCAGCTGTTGGCACGGCCACTCTGTGCTGCCCCCACACCTCCCCTACTCTTTCCAGGACAAACCTCCCTGTGTTCTTGGTCAAGGGCTCCGTGGGCGCATCCCCTTTGGGAAATCGAGTTGTGCTGGTGTGATTGGGAACAGTCCGCGGGCCCCGCGTGCAGAGAAGCCCTATATCCAGCCAGACAGGTGGAGGCCTTCTTCCGTGTCTGGCTCCCAGGCCACAGGGCTGACCAGGATTTCTCTCGCTCGGCACATGCCGGGAGGACAGTGGAGGGCTGGGGTGTGTGATCGGTCACATAACGTGACCGATGGGCACGGTCGTTAGTGCAGGACATAAGCTCTTCCCGTCGTTGTGGGGTGGAAAATGAGCTGATCCCACACCTCCGAGGACGGCTTTCAGGACGCAACCGTAGCCTCAAAAGGATTTCTAAAGCCCCCTCAATCAATACTGCTGTGAACATTGAGGTCCTTTTGCAGATGCAGCTCCTAAATCCTTTGCTCCTTGTCCCCCTCCGTGCCCCCACACAAATGGCAACTATGGTCAAAAGGCAAAGTCCTGCTCATGAATAAAGCAACTGATTTTGGCATCTGAAAAGTAACAGAAATCAGAACTCCACAATGAGTCATTGAATAGACCAAATGAATTTAAATCAATCATCTTGACAGTAGGCTTAATTTTCGAAGAGGGTGTAATTTTACAACTGTTGATTGCTCAGTTTTTAAAATTCTGTGTGTCGGTTTTAACCCCGGAGTGAGCACAAAATGTTCTGGGCTTCCTCCCCAGACGGGCATCTTGTGCTTTGGGAAGGGCCTGCGGGGAATCCTCCCGGGCTCAGCGCATCCTCCCTCAGACTCCTGGGCTGCTTCCCAGGCCAGGGCCCGCCGTGTGCCACCCGCCCGGGGAGTGTCTGAGCGCCTGTGTGTCCCCACCAGGCCTCCGCACCAGGCGTGCCTTGCTCAGAATTGGCTACATTGTGCCTAAGTCATAATTTTCTTGCAACGAAGACTCACTTCTCAAATACTGGCTCCATGACGGGAATGACCAGTTAGGTAGCTACTCCGAGTATAAACGCGGTTGCTGTCCGGATTCATTCTCGTGCTTTTAAAATAGATTTGTTCGCCATTAGCAGTTCTTTCTCTGATGTGCGTCTCTCTGCCGAATGACGAAGCCCTCAGTGATGGCACTTCATGCCCGTGATGCCAGGCGCTGGCCCTGTCGGGAAGGGTGGAGCGGTTCTTCCTCGAGGCACTCCCAGCTGTGCCCAGTGATGTGCGAAGGGGCCCCCTGCCCCCAGGGAGCCCCCTCTGTTGGGCTCATGCGCCTCAGGCCCAGCTGTCCCTGATCCTGGTCTGCACCAGTGACCTCGAAACCCACCCGACGAGACACCCTGTCACATGTCATGCTTATTTTAGAACCTCGGCTCCCCTTACAGGGTCCTGCCCTGTCAGATGCCCTCGCTATAGTCATGACGGGCATGACGGAAGAGCACCCATGGCCCAAGCACCTAGATTTCCCTGCAGTTCTTACTTTTTACTAAAACCAGTGCGGGGGCAAGTGCTTTGCTTGAGAGGGTTAGCCCCCAGCAGGCCTGACTGGAGCCTGGCTCCACATGCCGGCCTCAGCCGGAGGGGCAGCCGAGTGCATGGCCGGAGAGCGCCAAGGGTCAAGGGTAGCTGCCTTTTGCCCCCCACCTCCACCCAGGCTCATCCCCAGCTGGGGACCCCCACTCAGCCTTTGCCCCCCACCTCCACCCCAGCTGGGGACCCCCACTCAGCCTTGCCTTCCCCGATCCCCGAAGGGACTTGGGAGAGGGCTCCTGGCCGGTTCTCTGCCACACTGTCTTTGCTGTGATCTGGCTGTGGCCACAAACAGAGGACGCCTGGGGCCGCCAGAAGCCAGATGAGGCAGGAAGGGTCCTTCCCCAGAGTCTTCGGAGGGCGGGAGGCCCTGTCAACACTTTGATTTTAGACTTTTGGCCCCTGGAACTGCGAGGGGGTACATTTCGGCTGTGTTAAGTCCTCCAGCGTGGCAGCCAGAACCAGAGCCAGAGACAATGACCTCCAGAACCTACAGGCTTGCTGAACTCTTCCAGCCGATGGGGACACACATGCACATCACGGGGCCCTCGGCCTACCCCCGCTCCCCTCAGAAAGGGTGGCTCTGCGGAGGGTTCTGGGCTGGCTGGCAACACTCGGCTCCCGTGCCAGGGTCCTCGTTAACCAGTCTGCGAGGGTTCTATGCTCACAGGACCACCGGGGACATGAAACTGCCTTCCCTGTGAATAGTGAGTCACACTAGAGTCACAAGTTTTGCGGAAGTTATGATATCTGAGTCCAAAATATTCGGAAGTTTATAAGTGCACTCTTGGAGTTGATTTAGAGTTTTTTCCACTGTAAGAATCTAGATCCAGTACTATGTCATTAGTAAACTAGAGGTGGTTTATTCTGGAAGGGAAAAGAAAAAAGACTCAGGCAGAACAACTGTTTTTCCGGCAAGTGTTTCCAAACCCCCCCTTGCCCTGAGCAGGTGGGAAGCCAGACGCCCCCTGAAGTGGGCAGGAAGGGAAGGGGCTCTGCCGAAAGGGAGGTGCTTAGGGTAGAGAGACGAGCCAATCGGCAGGCAACAGTCCACTGTCCAGAAATGAGTTTCATGAAGTTTTAAAATGATTTAACCCCCGAGCTTTGTTAACGTCAGGGGCATCTTTATTTGATTGAAACATTAATGAAAGATTCCACACGTGTTTATATTTGGTTACAAAATCACTTGTGTGGGCGTTTGCTCCATTCCTCTCATTAATAAGCTTGCCTTTGTTTACCCCTCTGTCCGTCCCACTCCCTCTCAAGAACGGAACCTGGAGTGTCCCTCTCTCCTGGAGTAGCCTCTCTCCTGGACTATCCCTCTCTCCTGGAGTATCCTCTCCTGTTAATTAGCCCTCCCCTGGATTATTCTCTCTGTACCTCCAGCTCCTAGCACAGTACTGGCAGAATAGGAGTTGTACAGAAAACACCTGTTAAATTGAACTAAATAAATATCAAAAAATCTAAACGTAACTTATGATTTTTAAAAAGTAGGTAATCAAATAGTGAGGAACTGATTGAGGAATATGAAAGGATCAGGATAAAAATGATTAAAGATGCTAAATTGTTCTATGGGGACACGAAAAAGTAGACTCCATAAAGGACAAGATAGATTTAAGAAAGAATTTACTGCATAAATTATATTTAAAAACAAACAACAGGGCGCCTGGGTGGCTCAGTTGGTTAAGCAACTGCCTTCGGCTCAGGTCAGGATCCTGGAGTCCCGGGATCGAGTCCCACATGGGGCTCCCTGCTCAGCGGGGAGCCTGCTTCTCCCTCTGACCCTCCCCCCTCTCATGTACTCTCTCTCTCTCTCTCAAATAAATAAATAAAATCTTAAAAAAAAAAAGCAAACAACAGACTAGAAGGATAAAGACCAATTAAAAAATGAGCAAAGGACATGGACAGATTATACACAAAAAAATATACAGAAAATAAATGCCCAGTAAGCCTACTGAAAAAAAGTTTATTCTTACAAATAACCAAATTCATGAAATGAAAACATTTTATCTCCCCCAATGAAATTGGTAATATCAGGTAGTTACTCACACTTATTATTTGCAAGGGTGGGATTTACACATCAGTGGGTGTATGCATCAACATACCCTTTTTGGAGAACAATTTGGCAATGCTGTAATGAAGCCTTTGATCATAATTTCTATTTCTAGGAACTTATTCTAAGGAGTTATCAATAATGTTTACATAGATTTATCAAGTATTATTTTAACATGATTATTTAAATTAGTAAAAAGTTAGAAATAACCTATATCTCCAACCATAAAAGATTTTTAAACTAAATGATGGTACATCCAGAAGATGGAACAGTTACCGATTTTAGAAAATCTATATTTTAGGGGCACCTGGGTGGCTCAGTTGTTAAGCGTCTGCCTTCAGCTCAGGTCATGATCCCAGGGTCCTGGGATCGAGTCCCACATCGGGCTCCCTGCTCAGCGGGAAGCCTGCTTCTCCCTCTCCCACTCCCCCTGCTTGTGTTCCTGTTCTTGCTGTCTCTCTCTGTCATATAAATAAATAAAATCTTTAAAAAAAAAAAAGAAAAGAAAATCTATATTTTAGTCACTCCACAAATATATTTATTGATATGGGAACAGTCATAATAATCATTAAATAATAAAAGGCAGACTACACATCTGTGTAGGATGTGTAGCAGGATCCTATTTTTTATATTAAAAAATTCTGTACATCTAAGCCCAGGCCAAGACTCACAGTCTGTATCTTTTTTTTTTTTTTTAAAGATTTTATTTATTTACTTGACAGAGAGAGACACAGCAAGAGAGGGAACACAAGCAGGGGGAGTGGGAGAGGGAGAAGCAGGCTTCCCGCGGAGCAGGGAGCCCGATGCGGGGCTCGATCCCAGGACCCTGGGATCATGACCCGAGCCGAAGGCAGACGCCCAACGACTGAGCCAGCCAGGCGCCCCGAGCTTTGCCATTTTGAATAGTTCTGAACAAGGACGCTGTTCTTTGCGTAAGTTGTGCAGATGAGCTGTTTGCCTCAAAGTCTAACATGATTATCTCTCCACTACTTACCTCTCCAGAAGAGAGTCTCTCCACCATTTCTGCCAGATCGTTTTCCGTCGCGGGGAGTCCTGGGCACTGCGGGATATTGTGCGGCTCCCCTGGCTTCTCCCCGCTGGATGCTGTTAGCATCCCGAGACTAGTTTGACAGCCAAGGATGTCTCCAGACATTGCCGGATGTTGCCCCAGCTTGAGACCACGGCTCTAGAAGAAGCACCACTTCTGTAAGTAACGGAGCAGAGGTATCCATTTCTCCGCCTGATGTGCATTCCATTTTCCAAAATCGGCCCTCATTTTATAATATTTCTATCCATACACAAATTTGTGGCACATGAAATGTCACATACTTAGCACTGGATGGAGAGGCCCATAACCTCCCTGACTGTGGATTAGTCAGATAAAATTCCAGCCTATGATGACAAAATGAGGTTACGATTCTTTACTTAAGGTATTCAGAATGCAAGATTTTTCTGGCAAAAGTTTTCTTGCAAATTCAAGAACTCAAGAACATCCTATGGCCAGTGTTTTTATAAAGCTCAAACATCTATTCTCGGTTTTAACTTGAAATGCAGCTGAAACGGTGTTCCTTCTCTTGATTTAACAAGAGTGATCGAAGGCCCACAGGTGAGGCGCGACAGACAAGGCCTTGCTCTGTGTCAGCTGGGGTCTCTCGGGTGCACGGCGCCGAGTGGACGGACACAGGAGGCCTCGAGAGATGTCAGGGTACCGTCCCTGTTCAGTGAAGCCCCTCTCTTTTTAATTTCTTCTCCACCCAATAAACTTCTTCATGTGAACATGTACATAAAGGGTTTTACAAAAGCAAACTGCCCACGCTCAAAGACTTGCTCTGAGCTTAGTTTCCACCTGGAAATGTGCTCCTTTACAGCGTTCCCATTTCCTCTGGCTCCCACTTTATTGTTGTCACTGCCGGGCGGGTCCCCACCTGGACCGCACCCCTGCGTGGTCGGCGGGGCTCCTCCCCGAGCTGCCTCCCAAGGCTCCTCCTTGCAGCTCCTGGACAGGCCAGCAGGCTCGAGGGCTTGCAGTTTGACATGGTCCACTTGGCTCCAAAGCAGATGGAGTTTCCAGGGTTCTCTGCGACCCGGGGAGGTCAGGGCGCGTTTCTTGCCAGGGCCTAGTAGTGTTTATCTTGGTGTGATTGGAAATGGAAGAGAAATCGAGGGCAGCCCTGTTACCCGGCGTGACGCCGGAGAACACTGCAGCCGGATAGAATTTTCCGCAGGCCTATCTGCTTCTGGAATTCCTTAGGGACACTTTGTGAGGAAAACGACAACTTACGAGCTGGTATTGACGGCACTATTAAGTGATGAATCATATTCACACTCGCACCTTGGCATCTTCAGAGAGGAAAAGAGCATATAAAAGAACCAACAACTTGGAGGGCAGATTCCTGACCTCAGCTGGGAGTGGGGAGTGTTCACATCACACTGGTTGGTGCGGTGAGGACATCTGGATGGGGGTCTTGGGTGAAGGGTCAGCAGGAGCTCTTTGTACTTTTGTGCAGCTTTTCTATAATTGAAATTGCTTCAGAACCAAAGTTAAAATAGTCTTGGAACAAAGTGAAGACTTGGCGTGTGGGGGGGTCGTGCAGGAGAGACGGCGGAGCGTTGGCCTGGCACCCCTGGGCTCACGTCTCGCTCCACAGCTCATAGCTGTGGGCCTTTGGGCCCGTTCCTGACCCCTGGGAGACCCTCTTCTCCCCCATCTGTAAAGTAGGGATCACATTAGCGCTTCCCATAGGGGTCATAACTCACGTGATAACTCATGCCACAGCTTCGTTCAGCGGTTAACGCACAAAACACTCAATAGGCGGTGACCGTAACGGACAGTGACTAGTGTCCTGGGGTGTCCATAGCACAGGGCCACATGCTGGGCGGCTCACAACGACACAAATGTATTGCCTCACCGTCTGGAGGTCCGAAGCCCAAGGTCAAGGTTCTGGTCACGTTGCTTCCGTCCACAGCCTCCCTCCCAGCCTCTGGTGCTGCTGGCCTCCCTCCGCGTTCCGTGGCTTCTGCTGCGCCACCCCGTCCCTGCCTTCACCTTCATGCAGTGTTCTCCCCATGTGGCACCCATGTCCAATGTCCCTGTTTTCTAGGGCCCCAGTCACAGCGGGTTAGGCCCAGCCTGATCTAGCATGCCTTCATCTTAACTAGTTACATCGGCACCACCCCTGTTTCCAGATAAGCTCATGTTCCCAGGTCCTGGGGATCAGGACTTTAGTTTACAGGTTGGGGGACACAATTCATTCAGGACAACAGTGTGACTATGAGCAGCCCCCGAGAGAAAACCCATCTTGCTCTGCGGGTCGGTGACTCCAAGCTGTTCTTGGATGGACGACACTTGGCCATTATTTGTTTGATTTCATAACATTTCACAAAGCACTCAAACAGGGCGGTTCGACCTTTCAACACTAATTAAAATTATTTGTATTTCAGAGCATTTGCGACACTTACCCCAGGTACCCAGGGATAGGAAACACTCTAGCTCACCATAAAGTCCCACGACATGTCACTGGCCTCAGAATAGGTTTGTATCCCTCAACGAGAAGGCAAACGTGAATATTATGGTCAAATGGGTTCCTTCAGGCTCTCTCGTTGGAGAGGTTTGCTTCTGTCTCATTTAGAGCAAGAATAAACTCTAGGTGGGGTCTGAAGAGTGAGGGTAGCCGCTGGGATTCTGTGATCTGGAGGGTGCCGTGCTCCTGGTGCAGAGGGCTCTGGGCAGCGACATCCCCGTGCAGAGAGACCAGAGGCCTGGGTTCTCCAGGGCTGATTGAGTGTGTCTGGTTTGGCCGAGAGCTGGGAGCATTGCCCGGCCTGAAGCACAGCCTCCTGGGCCCACACCTGCCTGTTTGCACACCCCCCAGGGCGGATACAGAGCCAGCCTCCAAATGAGAAGGTGCAGGGGAGACTGACTCCCCAGATGCACTTACCTGAAGGGGGAGGTCTAAGCCGGTGGTTCTGAGCCCCGCCTGGAAGCCTGTATGCGCAGGTATGTGTGCGTGAGCACTTACGCATTGTTATGACCTTTTAATTCAAGGTCACCAACAAAGACCCTTCCCTACCTATTTCTCTTCACTAGCCTGTTGACAATCCCTGACATTTTTGCCCAGAGTAATTTCTTCCCTGGGTTAAACTCTCCCTATGTTCCTGGAAAGCATTGCTCAGCTACCCCTCATCAGGCACTTACTGAGGTCTTGTTAATGCAGAACAGTTTGGGGACACTGGGTGTGACAGAGTTGGTTGAATCACGGGCCCTGCTTTTTAATTGATGTATAATCTCCTAAAGGAAGTTACTTGAAAGACTGAATGCAAAGAAGAATTACAGTAAATTGCATAGAAGAGGAAGGAGCCCTGTGTAACAAAAGTTTAATCTTCGGATATCTACACATTAACTAGATTTCTACTTTAATTCCTTTGTAGTCAGAGAACATACTCTTATAAGAATTAAATCTTTTGAAATTCATTGAGAATTGTTTTATGTCCCAGCATGTGGTCCATCTTGGAGAACATTCCATGCGTACTTTAAATAAATGTGTATTTTGCAGTTATTGGGTGTAGGGTTCTATACCAATTAGATCAAGGTGGCTAATAGTGTCATTCAGATCTTCCGTGTCCTCGCCGGTTAGTGGTCTAATTGGTCCACCAATTATCGAGAGAGGGATGTTAAAATCTACAAGTACAAAAGTGAATTTGTCTACTTCTCTTAATTCCGCCAATGTGTGTTTCATGTATTTGGAACTAACGCTGTCACACTTTTTGCACCCCCGGTCAGGGGCGTACTGGGACTCGGGATGGGCGAGGCGGGAATGTCAGAGAGAGTGTAGAGGTGCACATCTGCTCATCAAATTACATACTTAACTGTGGTATATATATGCAAATTATACACCAGTAAAACTGACCAAATATGTATATGTCTGAATGAATACAAGCCTTGTGTTTATCACATTTGGGAACTAAAACGAACCAGTAGCTATAATACTTTTAGCTAATGTCATTAAGGAAGTGAAAAAGTTTTTAATATGACTGAGTTATTCAAATAAATAAATATAGACGGACAATTAAATCTTCCAGTACGTACATAAGATGCCCCCCCCCCCCCCCCCCCGCCCAACCCAGCCCAGAGCATGCTCTCTACTCTCCATCCTAGCGTCTCCATTTCCTGGGCACCCAATTCATACCTCATCTCCTTTCCTACTTCTCCACGTCCAACCAACAGCTTAGTCCTGGAAACGTTGTTCCCTGAAAAGCCATGCAGGGTACTGCTGACTCTCTACCACCCCTCTTGGCTTCCGGTCTAAACTTGGCTCAAGTCCCCATGGGACCTGAAGAGACCACGTGACCAAGAGGAGATATGCCATTCTTGGGAAGAACTGTGTGGTTTTCCCCATTTATATGGACAGAAATCCAGGACTATGGGTGGGGATGGCTATTCAGGGTGTGGGACAATGGTGGAAGGAACATAACCCTGGATCAGGTTCAATTTGTGGCTATGGCCCACTAAGTGAGATTGTGTGTGTTTTAGTTTGAGAGGTCAGCAAGGGCTTGTGTGACTGGTTGGCTAAGATGTGACCGTTCCAACGGTGGCCCATACTTAATGAAATCAAAATGCCAGAACAGGCTTGGTGTGCTCTAGACGGTATCTAATGGCTTAGGGACACTGGAGTGTTAGGGTGGATTTATCGTGTAAGACCTGCTCACCCTGCAAGGGTCCAGAGGGCTCCCCTTTCACCATGACTGGCAGAAATTAATCTGTGGGGGGTGCCCAGTCAACTGGAGAGCCCTGTGATCATTCTTCTCTGAAGGCCAGACCTCATAGTGGGAAATAAAACGCAGTGGGAATAATTGGATTCTGGGAGGCAAGGGACAGGTGGGGGCACTCAACCACCAAAGGCAGGGTGGGCGTGGTCACCAGAATGCATAGCAGAGTCAATCAAAGCAGAAATCAGAATAGTCTGACATGCAGAGACCCATGGTGTTGGCTGATCACAGCATTCCCAGAGGTGAAACAGATGGAAAGCTGACTAACCCCCTCCTTGATCTGTATGAGGAGAATAGTTCTAGATTGAGCAAACGGTTCTAGATTGAGCTAACAGTTCTAGATCAAGTGACCAGTTCTATATTGAATGAACAGATGGGAAGCCAAATAAATCCCTTCTTGATCTGTATGAGCAGAACAGTTCTAGAGTGAGCAAACAGTTCTAGATTGAGTGAACCATTCTAGATCGAGTGAACAGTTCTAGATCAAGTGAACAGTTCTATATTGAGTGAACAGATGGGAAGCCGACTAAACCCCTCCTTGATCTGTATGAGCAGAACAGTTGTAGATCGAGTGAACAGCTCTAGATCGAGTGAACAGTTCTAGATTGAGTGAATAGTTCTAGATCGAGTGATTAGATCATGTGAACAGTTCTAGATCAAGTGAACAAAAAGTCTAACTTGATTCATAAAAACAGAGTCATGGTCCCTCGATCACTTCCCAGATTGAGCCAGTCCACAGAACCCCTTGAGTGAAGGAACACTGGGTCCCTTTCTGGTATATGCTGAGAATGTATACTGTTACCCTTTCTCCTGGCCTTCCCCCAGGGCCACTGTGTGCTGGGGAAAAGAAATAGTCAGATGTATTGGGGTCTCCTGGCTCTGAACTGACACTGGTTCCAGGAGATCCCAGACCTCACTGAAGCCACCTATCAGAGAAGGGCTCAGGAAGTCGGTGGTCAGCAGAGTTTCAGCTCAGCTCCCTCTCATAGTGGGTCCATTGGTGTCCCCCACCCTGTCGTGTGACTCTGGCCCTGGTCCCAGCTGTATAACTGCCACAAAGCCAGCCACCGCGGAGCCTGAAGCTGGGTGTTGCCTGCACACCACCAGGCAGACCACCAGGCACACGCCAGGGGTAGAAGGTAGTCCTGGGGCTGCAACGTTTGTGAGGAGGGTAAGCATAGGGACCTGCTGCTGCTGAGTTTGGCTTGCAGCCGGAAGTTCAGCTCTGAGCATTTGTCCGGGCTTTGGTTCCACCTGGTCTTGCTAATCTTGGCACCAGCCACCGAGGCCACATGCAGTGGGTGCTCTCAGCAGCTCTGTGGCCCAGGCCGTGGTGAGGCCGCTCTGTCCTCAGTGCCCTGGCTGTCACAGCTGCTACCCCTGCTGTCACGGCTTTGGCTCAATACTCTTTGTGCATGTTTTAGGATTTGTCACCAAGTTCCAGTCCACCCTTGGTTAAGTCAGGTCATTGTAGAACATTTGGTGATCTTCCTCTGCTATTTGTTGACAAAGATTCTGAGGCTGTGACCTCGCTTGGACTCCACGTTCCCTGTTTACTGGCTGCCCTCGTCTTTGCGTGGGGCACCGCCTCGTATTCTTGGTCGCGTTTCTGTGACAGTGACTCACCCCGTCCTGAACCCCTCCTGTGCTGGCACAGGACTGAGAGCGAATCATGTTCGCAAGCACCATCTCCGCGCCTTGAAAGGAATAAACTAGTTCTACCTGAAAGGCAGCAAGTTTAATAGTTTATTTAATATTTCTTGTTCCCTAAAATGGAAGCCATCGCATTTTATCTCTTTCCTTATCCTAGGCACACTTTCCCAATCATCTGGAAATAGTTATGTAAGTTTGTCTGAAATCCAACATGTAGTTAACGTTTGGGGGTCAGATCTCCAAGATGCTCTCGATCTTGTGTCAAAACGATAGAGCGTAGGATCAACTCTTGTATTATGATAAATTGAGAACTGGAGAAGTAGTAACTCGTCTAAGATTACATAAAACATGATGTAAGACCATTAATTTTTGAAGTACTCAGTTTACATAGGAAATAAAGACAGATGCATTGTGAGTAAAGCAAGCTCTGCATGGGCACAGGGTGCGCGGGTCTCATCCATCAGGACACACCCAGCTCTTAGCGCAGTGCCTGCCACATGGTAGGTGCTTAGGGAAAATTTGTTAGAGTGTTCCTAATAAACAGACAAGAGAGAAACAGCTCAGTCACTGCCTCGGTTGCTTTTGCTCATGGAAGTGTTGACTCTGTAAAATAGAAGATCATATGTTGTCCACAAGGAAATGTCAATTCATTGTCATAACTTGGTTATATAAATAGAAATATGAGGTGAGAAAATGCAAAGTATAGCAAGATGAATCTGGAGCTCTTTGTATATATCTTCTCTACTTTGCTATTTAAGATATGAGCTTCTAAAAAGTCTTGTTTTATCTTTTTGCTGGGAATAGAATTTAAACCTCAAAATACAGATGAAGGAGGGGGAATCTGAGCTCATTTTCCACACAAGATCCTCTAGGGATTGAAGGGGAAGGACAGAGTTCAGGGGCTTGGGGGTGCACGTGTGCACGTGTGTGAAGTGGGGTGCGGCGTGTGTGTGCGTGTGTACATGAGCATGTGTGGAATGGGGGTGTCGGGGTGTGTGCGTGTGCATGCATGGGTCCGTGTGCACGTGTATGTGCCTGTGTGCACGTGTGTGAAGTGGGGTGCGGCGTGTGTGTGCACATGTGTGTGTGTGTGTACATGAGCATGTGTGGAATGGGGGTGCCGGGGTGTGTGCGTGTGCATGCATGGGTTCGTGTGCATGTGTATGTGCCTGTGTGCACGTGTGTGGGGAGTAGGGGAACCGGGCTACACTGGAGCATGTATGTGTGTGCACATGAGCCTTCATGATGTATAATAGGTGTACACGTGCATATGTAGTAGGGGCTGGGGATGTGGGCACATGCATGTACGTGTTGGGGTAGGGGTGCTGGGTGTGTGTATGTGTGCGTGGAGAGGCTGAGCTCGTGGCGAACAGTAAAGGACGCTGAGCGGGAGGCCCAGAGCTGGGGCAGGGAGGGGGCAGCACGGGAGGCCCCACTCTCCAGTTCTAAGCACACGGTTGGCATACCTGCGCGAGGCGGGCTCGGGCACCTGTTTCCAGAACTGGGTGAGAATTTCGTTACTCTCCGGTGCCCTCTGGTGTTTCCCTTTTCTTCCAGACTTGGAGTTCACCCCCCTAGAAAAGGCCTGCCCTCTGGAGGGGCCACCGTGCGTGGTGCGGCCGTGCCGGGAGGAGCGTCCTCTACGCAGACCCTGCCGCCTGCAGATGGAAGACGCACGGGGAGCAGGGGGCTCACTTTCCACCTCCCGACCTGGGGTCGCCACAGCTGTTCACTAGCTAGCTGGTCCTGCTTGACCACATGGGTCACCTACCAGGCCACAGTTTTGTCCTCTTAAGTAAGGGTGGCCTGAGCCCCCACGGCTCAGTTCTAGAAACACCTGACTCTTCTCCTCAGCGTTTCTACTCCTGTGATGAGCCCCAAACCAGCCTCCTGGAGAGAACCAGGGATGACGGTCAGCAGCTGCCGGAGAGCCTGGTCCCCAGCGACCAGGGCCCTGTCCCTGCCTGCAGGGATGCCCTTAAAGACCAGGCCCTGGTCCTGTCCACTCTGGCCATGAACAAGGTCACCAGGGCTGGCCCCTGGGGTCAGAGGAGCGGGCGCCCTGGTTTCCATGGCACTGGCTTGCAGTGGCCCAATTCCTCCTCACATGTGTGTGTGGTTCCTCTGCACACACGCATGCACACACTCACAAGGTACACGCACACACACGTGCACACACACCCAGGCACCAACATCTCCCCTGGGTCGTGCCCCAGGATGAAGGAAAAGCCAGAATCCAGATGTTGGGAGAACATCCAGCCTGTGTCAGGGCCCGTTGAGAAGGGGTGGTGCAGGACAGCCCGGCTCTACCCCAGAGCTCCGCCCGTCGGGCCTGCGGCAGTCAACGCTGCATCTTCTTGGGAGCCCCTGTTTTGGACTGAGCATGACTAATGCAGGAGCGGACCTGGAGGAGAGTGGAGCGCAGCCTCAGGCTCTGCTCACACCACAGCCTCCTGGGCAACTGTGCATCGTGCTCCCGCGAGGGACACGGAGGGTTTTGGTCCCTGAGCACCCGGAGGCTGAACTGAGAACGAGGTACAGAGATGCCCTGAAACACAGCTGGGGGTGCTGTGGGTCTGCCCACTTACCAGGTGCAGTTGTTACAGCCTCGTTTTCACGTTTTCTGCGGGACTTGACTGCCCTTTGTACCCCCCCGGGAGCAAACACGAGCGTCAGCCCGCAGCCGCCAGCCGAAGGTCACGGATTCTACCCTGCACTTACCGCTGATGGTCAACAGGGGGTGTTAATCAACAGCTTTATCCTGTTCTGCTAGGTGGTAACTGCACAACTCAGAAGATCTCAAATTTCAACTTATTTATTAAACATAAATATCTAGTGTACTCCTTGAATCTTAGAGTACTTTTATCACTTTGTTAAATTTCACTTGTTTCCTTTAGCCTCAAAACAAATTTTCCTGAATGTCTACAAAGAGACTTTAAAAGATAGCAATATATATATATTTATTAATTTTTAAAAGATTATTTATTTATTTATTTGACACAGAGAGACACGGCGAGAGAGGGAACACAAGCAGGGGGAGTGGGAGAGGGAGAAGCAGGCTCCCCGCCGAGCAGGGAGCCCGACGCGGGGCTCGATCCCAGGACCCCGGGATTATGACCTGAGCCGAAGGCAGACGCTCAACGACTGAGCCACCCAGGTGCAGGCGCCCCAATATATATATATATATTTAGAGATTTTATTTTTTTTATTTATTTGAGAGAGAGTGCACACAAGTAGGGGGGAGGGAGAAGGAGGGCGAGGGAGAGAATCCTCAAGCAGACTCCCCGCTGAGCATGGAGCCGGCTGGACTTGGGGCTCCATCTCACAACCCGAGATCATGACCTGAGCCCAAACCAAGAGCTGGATGTTTAACGGACGGAACCCCCAGGTGCCCCGATAGTGATAGATTTTTAAGTCAACTTTTAAATTGAAGAGTAGCCTAGGTTCACAAATCATAAATGTGCTGCTGGACGACTTTTTACAATGGTAACATGTCTGTGGGACAACCGTCTGGGGCAAGATCTAGAATATTCCCAGAAGATTCCCTCATCCCCTTTCCAGAGTAAGTACTCCCTTGACCTGTTTCATCGTAGGTTGGTTTTGCTGTTTTCACGGTTTCTATTATTCAGTTATATGATGTGTCTGGATTCTCTGGCTGGAGACTATGTTCCTGAGATGGTCCGTGTTCTGAGAGGCTCAATATCACATGGGCAGTGTGTCACTGCAGTAAACTGTCCCCCTGTCAATGTGTAGCGCATTCATTCATCCAACTCTTGCCCACAGGCATTTGGGCTGCTCCCGGGCGGATCTGTCACGAGTCATGCAGTTTTGAGCATCCTTGTACGTGTCTTTCGGCGCGCAGGTGTATGCATTTCTGATGGATGCGTATTCAGAAGCAGAATTGCTGGGTCATAGGGTGCACGCATGTTAAACTTTAGGAAATACTGCCAAACAGGTTTCTGGAAAGTTGTAGCAATTTACACTCAGCTGGCCGAATAGGAGAGTTTCCATTGCTTTCCATCCTCCCCTCATGTGATTTAATATCATAAACTTATTCCTCAGTTTTCAAGGGTTTTGCCGAACAGTATGACGTTAGGTGGGTAGTAGGGGAAGAGGAGTGAAGGTCTAAGACCTGTGCTCAGTACAGGAGCTCACATATGGATGTAGCACACAGGCTGTCCTAACGGAAATCTTCAGATGTTTCTCAAGTGAGGGAGTCTCTTCATGATCGATGAAGGGTGCTGTGGGTGGACCTCTTGATTCTCGCACATATTAAGCCCACAGTACTTTACTATTTTTTAAAGATGTTATTTATTTATTTGACAGAGAGAGACACAGCGAGAGAGGGAACACAAGCAGGGAGAGTGGGAGAGGGAGAAGCAGGCTTCCCGCGGAGCAGGGAGCCCGATGTGGGGCTCGATCCCAGGACCCCGGGATCATGACTTGAGCTGAAGGCAGATGCTTAACGACTGAGACACCCTGGCGCCCCATGCCCACAGTACTTAAAACTGCTGCGGTGATTGATCTCCAAGCCATAACTGAGTATCAGTGTTGGGACCACAGAGATAGTCGAACTTCCCACGACAGAAGCAGCTCTTCCTAGAACCAGGGAGGCGTCTTCTCGAAGCTCGGCGACGTTCCCGCCATGCCTGACCGCCCCAGAGGTGACCTGGCGTTACCAACTGCATCAACTTTTCCATGCTGTTTGAGGATGGAGTCAGAAGATAATGAAGAGGAGGGAAGGAGAGAGCGTGGAGGTTCACAGCATAGAAGTAGGACTGGTTTTGCGTCTTCAGACCTTTGCGTGGAGGGTGTGAGCACGGGAGGCTGTGTGTTCTGCTCGAGCCCCGTTCACTCCGTGAGCACCGACGAGTTAGAGATGCTTCCAGAGTGACCAGAATCATGAAATACACTCTTCTCTAATGCACGTTAATTCACTCTTCTTTTCTGGACTTCAGGAGACAAAAGTTTCTTACACATACCACCTTTCTTTGGGAATTCTGGATGTTCTCTGGCTTAGGAAATACACCTGCCCGGGCTTCCAAATGAACACAGCTGTGTCTGCCCTACCTTTCTGGAACTTGGAACTGGGTGGATAAGCCTAACCGCACTTGTGACTCACCAGGGGCCTGAGGCTGATTTCTAGGATAAGTCGTGCCCCTCATGCTCTCCTCCCAACCCCGCCGCGCCTTGTGTCCACAGCCAGAATTCCCGGCTCAGATGAGAGGGGGTGAATTGTGGCCGTGGGACAGAGCCGCCGGCTCCACAGAGACCCATCTGTTAGGAGCACATTCTACCAAATGAGCAGACTAGTCATAGAGCATGCTTTTTGGAACCGAAATAGGGGTTTTTCCTATTTTTTAAAAAAGTTAGTTGTAAGGAAGTGTTTATTTATTGTAGTAAAACATAAAACCACATTAGCCATTTTAAGTGTACAATTCTGTGGCATTCATCACATTTCCGCTGCTGGGCAGCCCCACCGTCCATCTCCAGAACTTTCTCATCTCCCCAGATGGAAGCTCTGTCCCACAAATCACCAGCTCCCCATCCTTCCCTCAGCCCCGGATGACCTCCATTCTAAGTTCTGTTTCTGTGGATTTGATGACTCCAGTGACCTCATATGAGTGGGATCACACAGAATTGGCCCTTTTCTGTCTGACCTACTTCAATCAACATGATGCCTTCAAGGTTCATTCATGTTGTAGCAGGTGTCAAAACTCCCTTCCTTTATAAGGCTGAACCATATTCCATTGTCTGGATGGGCCACATTTTGTTTATACGTTGGTTGAGGGACACTTGTGGCTATTGCGAATAACGCTGCTATGAACATGGGTGTACAGATATCTGTAGGGATTCTGGCTTTACAGTCTTTGGGTACGAATTCAGTAGTGGAATTGCTGGGTCAGACGGTCGCTCTGTGTTTAATCCTTTGCGGCACCTCCGCACAGCTCCCCTTGAGGGGACCGTCTCACCTTCCTATGCTAAGAATTCTCACTGTGGGGGCGCCCGGGTGCCTCAGTTGTTAAGCGTTTGCCTTCGGCTCAGGTCATGATCCCAGGGTCCTGGGATCGAGCCCTGCATCGGGCTCCCTGCTCCGCGGGAAGCCTGCTTCTCCCTCCCCCACTCCCCCTGCTTGTGTTCCCTCTCTCGCTGTGTCTCTCTGTCAAATAAATAAATAAAATCTTTAAAAAAAAAAGAAAATCTTGAACTGAATGAAAATGAAAATACAACACACTAAAATATTGAGACGCAACGGAAGCAGTGTTTAGGAAAAAATGTAGAGTATAAAATGCTTTTATTAAAAAGGAAGATGAGGGGTGCCTGGGTGGCTCAGTCATTAAGCATCTGCCTTCGGCTCAGGTCATGATCCCGGGGTCCTGGGATCGAGCCCCTCGTCGGGCTCCCTGCTCGGTGGGAAGCCTGCTTCTCCCTCTCCCGCTCCCCCTGCTTGTGTTCCCTCTCTCGCTGTGCTTCTCGCTGTCAAATAAATAAAATATTTTTTAAAAAAAGAATTCTCACTGTGTTGCCAGGGACTTTTCCTTTGTTTGAAGGTTTTTAACTATGAATTCAGTTTAATAGATATAAGGCTATTCAGATGATTTCTTCTCGAATGGGCTTTATGAGTTTCAGTTTTTCAGGTCATTTGTCTGTTTAACCGAAGTTCTTTCTGGCACCTAAGTCCTCTACGGCCATTTCTGACTGTGAACAAGGTGTCACAGCACTTACATGGATAAAGTTTTGAAAGCGATGGAATTGGTGCTTGTTGTGTCCACTAGGGGGTCATCTTAGGCTCAGCTACATTCTTCGGCTCCTGAGAGTGCCAGGGCCACACACCGGACATGGGCAGGGGCACATCCAGCCACGGGGTGCAGGCAGGCACTTCCTTCATGGGACGCGGTCCAGGCAGAGGTTCGGGGACCGTGGCCTGGAGCCCCAAGGGACAGTTCAAGCGTGAAGAGACCAGACTCACACAGATAGGGACGCGGGGCCGCCCCCGCTTGACGGCCCCGGTTCTAAATGGGCACTGCTCTCTCTTGTAACCCCTCTCGGGGACAGTTTCCAGGATGTGCGGCCGTCCTTCCCCTCACCTTGCTGGTGAGGAGGGGACCCCCTGCCCTGGACACTGGGCACACCAACAGCAGCCCATAGTGACAGATGCTCACGGCACACAGAGTGAACGTTCTTGACGCTTAGAGCTTTAGGATCACATCGTAAGACAGACATATTTCTATTTACATACGTATTTTATCTGCAGAGAAGTATGCCAGAATGATTAATAAGTCCATTTAATATAAGGTAACATTTCACTTAGATAAATTCTGTGGAGATACCATATGAAAAATACAATCTTAAGGGGAAAAGAAGTAAAATGTAAAATGACAGACTTTTAAAGAAGAATTTGTCAGTGTATTTTGAGTGGATAAAGGTGGGGCGAATTTGTTATGGGGGTGGATACCACTGGACACCGTTCAAAGGGTGATGTGGGTTCATTTCGAGGTCAGTGTTGATAGCACTGAAAATTGCATCCTTTGCAACTATTGTAACTTACAAATAAAACTTTCAGATGTCAAATTAAAAATATGCAAGGCTGTAATAGTTTCTCATGAGTGAAAATATTTGAAAGCCCCTGTTCTAAACCCGAGCCCATGACCAGCATGGTGGCGCATTCTGGGGCGGGGGGAGCAGGGCGGGTATCAATTGCTTCAGTCACCTGCCCCATGGTCTGGGGTATGAGTGGTCCACTGCACTCCTGGGGAGCTGAGCCAGATGGCTGTTGGCCTTGGGGTGGCGATGAATGCACTTGCACCTCACGCTTCCGTGGTTTTGTAACAGTAATTATTAGTTTGAAGACAGAACATTACCAATTATTAAGAGCTAAGATATACAGGCACCACGATAATAATTTTAATGTGCCAGAAAGAGTGAATTTAAAATCCTATC